CGTGGAGACATTCACGAAGGCGAAATTTATGAATCTTTATGTTATCTACTATGAGAAGACATCTGTATTTTCATCCGTCTTTAAGACCCTGGGATTCTAGGTATTCTAATAGATGGTTATAGAGGTGACCAAAGTTCACTGCTTACAAGTCCTGATTACAAGTGTTGACTGCTCTTTCTATTGTCATGGAGATGTGCTCATTTAAAAGTAGAAATGATTCCAATGTGGTTCTCTAAATTCGAAAGTTTGGAGAGGCACTTATCGTAGAGTTTGGAGTGAAACTTATCACTACCAAATTTAAAATATTTTCCCATTGCTTTATGTTCTGAGCCAGAAAACTTATCAGTAGTAGTGAACATGATCAAATAATTCTTTCATGCAGTACATAATTGACGTGCAAGTTTGGAGCAGTGTAGAATATCCTGGGTATTTTGTTTGTAAAACAAAAGTTTATAAAAAGAAGAGTATCATTGGTGAGCAAAATAATAAAACTCTGGTTTTGGAAAAGTAAGCAAAGATGGGGAAAAACAATTTTAAATGCTTGGTAAACCCATATAAGATCCAAATTAAGATAAAATATCTGTCTCTGTAGATCCTTTCAGCATGACCAACATGTAAAACAAGAATGAATATAAACAAAATTTTGACCAAATTAAAAAAAAATCATTGTGTGCAAACAATGCTATTTTTTATTCATTGTATCTTAGTATAGACCTTTTCTGGACCACAAATGGTTCTTAATTTATGGCACAGAGAAAATTGTTCATAAATACTAATGAAACAAATATATGCTTGAATTTAGCAAACAAATTAGACCGTCATTCTGCATTTTTACATATTATGTCAGTAATCTGTGGATTATGCCATTATTTCAGAAAAGAATAGTAAGTTTTGTATATTTTAAATGTATCAAAAGAACAAAAATTTCTATTTCAACCAAGTATAAAGTATAATTAAGTCAGTCAGATTGAAATAAAACAGCAAAATTAACATAAAGCTTTTCCTGCCACCCTCTGTAAGTCAGAGATTTTTAATTAATGTTTAAAATGTAGTTTGCTTGTAGTTGATATTTTATTTACAGCTATAAACAAAATATGTAAGCCTCTGGTAATTTGAATATTTTCCCCATGAAAGATTCTTTTAGCCTTAAAATGGTAAAAATGAATACAAATACTATTTATCTCTTTTGTAATTAAAATTAATTTTTCCCTTTCTTGTTGCTTTACTTTTAAGTAAATTAAAACTTAATATACCATAAACACAAAGAACTGGGGTATTAATTTTCTTTAAAATATAGCTCAGAAATTATGAAGTCTGAGCTAAATGGTTTCCAATTTCCTAATCATCCCATTTGAAATTTTAGAACCATTCCATATCATAGTCATAATAAAGTATGAATAAAATCATGGACACTCTTGGAACTATAAATTTATCAGTACACATATAATGTATAATCTTGGCCTTGTTTCTTTGAGAAGGATCTACAGTTATTTAGAGGTTTATTGTAAAATTGTCATTGTAAGTGAATAATAAAATAGTGTATTATATCTACCTGGTTCACATAATATAAAGAAATATAGCTTATGTTACCATATCACGATTTTTATACGAATATGCTTAATTTCTTATATACATATAGGTATGAAGAATACTTTTGAAGAAAACAAATATATCTTTTTTTTTCTCTTTTTGAGAGTGAATCTTGCTTTGTCACCCAGGATGGAGTCCAGTGGTGTGATCTCGGCTCACTGCAACCTCCGCCTCCTGGGTTCAAGTAATTCACCTGTCTCAGCCTCCCAAGTAGCTAGGAATACAGGTGTCTACCACCATGCAGGTTTTTTTGTTTGTTTGTTTTTCTTTTTTGTAATTTTGTAGAAATGTGTTTTCACCATATTGGCCAGGCTGGTATCAAATTCCTGACCTCAAGGCCTGCCTTAGCCTCCCAAAACGCTAGGATTACAGGAGTTAGCCACTGCTCCAGGCCAAGAAATATATCTTGAATTGGGAAAAAGAAACAAAAACAGAAACAAAAACAAACAAAAAAATCTACCGGAATGTCAAAAGCCTCAAATCGAACTAAAATTTGCTTAGGAATATTTTATTCATTTGTTGTGCTATTGGAAACTGTGAGACCAAAAAAAAAAAACAAAACAAGTGAAAATCTTGTAGTCTTTATGATTTTGACCTAATAGACTTTAGAACATACCAGGCAACCTGTATATGTTTATATTAAAGGCTCACATAGAAGTTGTTTAAATATGTGGGTGCTTTATCAATTTTTAATTTTTAAAAAATTTTTATAGATTTAGGGAGTACATCATTTCATCCTTGGTTTCCTACCCTCTCACTCTTCTGAATTTCCAGTGTCTATTATTTCTCTATGTCCATGTATATACATTATTTTGCTTCAACTTACATGTGAAAACATGAATGGTTGACTTTATGCTTGAGTTATTTCTCTTAGGATAATGACCCCATTTCCATCCATGTGGCTGCAAAATACATTATTTTATATCTGATTAGTATTCCATTGTATACATGTGTCTCTATGTGTGTGTACATATTTTCTGTATCCAATTACTCATTGATGAACACTTATGGTAATTCCATATCTTGGCTATTGTGACTAGTGCTGTGATAAACATATGCGTAAGGTCTCTTTTTGATATATTGATACATTTTCTTTTGGGTAGCTACCCAGTAATGGATTTGTTGGATCAAATAGTAGATTTATTTTTGTTCTTTGAGAAACCTCCATACTGCTTTCCATAGAGGTTGTGCTAATTTACATTCTCACCCACAGTGTGTAAGCACTTTCTTTTCTCCATACCCTCGCCAACATCTTTTTGACTTTTAAAATAACGCCCATTCTGACTGGGCTAACGTGGTATCTCATTATGATTCTAATTTGCATTTCTCTGTTGATTAGTGTTGTCAAACCATTTTTTTTTCTTTTTTTCTTTTTTTTTTTTTTGAGGTGGAATCTTGCTCTGTCGCCTAGGCTGGAGTGCAGTGGCACGATCTCTGCTCACTGCAATCTCTGCCTCCTGGGATGAAGCCATTCTCCTCCCTCAGCCTCCTTAGTAGCTGGGACAACAGTTGCACGCCACTACGCCCAGCTAATTTTTGTCTTATTAGTAGAGATGGGGTTTCACCGTATTGGCCAGGCTGGTCTTGAACTCAGGAGTTTGAGACCAGCCTGACCAACACGGTGGAATCCCATCTCTACTAAAAATACAAAACAACAACAAAATTAGCCCGGCATACTGATGCAGGGGAATCGCTTGAACCCAGGAGGTAGAGGCTGCCGTGAGCCAAGATTGTGCCAGGCACTTGAGTCAGGGTAGCAGAGCAAGACTCTCTTAAAAATGAATGAATGAATGAATGGCTAACTTATTATCTAGGACTTGTATTTTTTTATTTTTTTAACTCTTTTGCAGATGATGTCATACTTAAATAAAATGCTTCCAAACAACAACAAAAAATTAGATTTAATTATTGTATAATTTCCTCAAATACATTTTGAATAAAGTTCCTTTAAAACTTTCTATGATGAAAAACCTATTCCAAGTATAATGATATACTTTTAAAAATGCAATTCACTAAACGTTATTCAATCTTTCCTTGATTGCTGAGAATTTCAAGATGCTCGAGAGTCATCGTGAATGGTAGAGTAACATAGCTACAGATGTAGGAGGAAGTAGACCTGTACGTAGACTACCAACTTTATTTAACTCAACACTTTTTATAATACAGATAGTTCTCTACACTATTCCACAAACATGCCTTATTTCTACTTCAACTCATTCCCTGAAAGTGACACAGGATCTCACTTCCTCATTACCCATTCAAATCCTACATATTCTTTTTCAATTATTTCAAGTATCTTCTCTTCAGAAGAAGTTCTCCATGACCATACCAGTCAGCACTTCTTAGAAATTCTGTATTTTTAGGTACTTCCTTGAAACCCTGTATTTTTCCTTCAAAACGTTATGCTCAATGTGCTCCAATCTCTTCATAACTTACAATCTAATTTACAAAATAAAAATTTTAAACTAACAGAATGTATTTAAAGTAAATGGAAGAGGTATTGGTTCATGTACACTTGTGATGGGGTGATAACAATACCAAATCTCCCAGGCTCGTGTGACCATATTTTCTAATCGGGACATGGTGAGAAAATAAATGAATCTTCCCTTATTTAATTTTATAAGTAGAGGTGATTATTCACATTTATCTGCAAGAATTTTTTTTAAATCTTGTATTTAAGAATAAATCCATTGACTTTCCAATAAATGACATTAAATAGTATTCAGGCAATATGTTCAAGATTATTTTATAAAGCAACTAAAAATGTTGCTAAAGTGGAAAGATTTTATGTTTCATTTTTTCTCTATTTTAATTAGTCAACTCTCTATGAGTGTATTGCATGAAATATTAAATATTGCTGAAGCAGTTATTCAGTAGATGCTATAGTATGTGCCACGTACTGTTATTCTGTATGCAGGTACTGTTTTTAAAAAAATTTATACAGACTTAATTTACTCCTAGGCCTATTGAAGCAGAATTCAGGCTTTATAGTTATCATTTAAACTTGAAAATCAAAATTTTGATTGTAATTTTCTGCTATAGTTTTATCAGTCTAAATTTTTTTAAGTAACTAAATGCATATATATACATCTATATGAAATAATTGATTAATATATGGTGTACCAAAACATGCTTGTATTAACAAACTATACATTGATGGTACCTGCCAAATGCAGGAGAGGAGAAGTCTAAATATGTTGGTCAGTGGAAGACTTTATACAAAGGCAGCACTTAAGTTGCATCCCCAGGATTGTATTAGGTTGGTGCAAACATAATTGCAGTTTTTGCATTGTTGAAATTTGCCATTTGATATTGAAATAGTTACTTTTAAAAATATGGTTATGCTATACATTATTTTAATATGCCTTTCTTGCTTTTTTTGCTAATTACTACTTGCTGTTTATTTTATATTTCTTTTTAGACTATGGAAATGATGTTAGACAAAAAGCAAACTTGAGTGATTTGCTTATTTGAGTTCAAATGAGTCATAAAGGAGAGGAGACAACTTGCAACATTAGCAATGCATTTGGCCCAGGAAGTGCTAATGAATATACAGTGCAGTATGGTTCAAGAAGTTTTGCAAAGGAGACAAGAGTGTTGAAGATGAGGAATTAGTGGTGGGCCATCAGAAGCTGACAATGACCGATTGTGTAAGCAATCATTTAACCCAATCCTCTTACCACTACACAAGAAGTTGCTGAAGAACTCAATGTCAACCATTCTACAGTCGTTTAGCATTTGAAGCAAATTGGAAAGGTGAAAAAGCTTGATAAGTGGTTGCCTCATGAGCTGAGTGAATTTTTTTTTTTTAATCCTATTTTGAAGTGTCATATTCTCTTATTCTGGGCAACAAAAGTGAACCATTTCTTTATCGGAAGTGGACTTTATATGATAACCAGCGAAGATCAGTGGTTGGACCAAGAAGAAGCTCCAAAGCACTTAACAATGCTAAACTTGCACCAAATAAAAGGTCATGGTCACTGTTTGGTGGTCTGCTGCTGGTCTGATCCACCATAGCTTTCTGAATCCCAGTGAAACCATTACATCTGAGAAGTATGCTCAGCAAGTCAATAAAATGCACTGAAAACAGCAATGCACGCAGCCAGCACTGGTCAACAGAAAGGGCCCAACTCTTCTCCATGACAACAAGTGATGGCATGTAGCACATCCAAGCTTTAAAAGTTGAATGAATTGGGCTATGAAATCCTCCATATTCACCCCACCTCTCGCCAACCGACTACTTCTTGTTCAACCATCTCAACAATCTTGTGCAGGGAAAATGCTTTCACAACCAGCAGGATGCAGAAAATGCTTTCCAGGGGTATGTTAAATCCTGAGGCATATAGATTTTTATGCTACAAAACGTATTTCTTGTTGTCAAAATCGTGTTGATTGTAATGGTTACCCAATTACTTTTGCGTCAACGTAATAAGAAAGCAAACCAAGTGTAAGTCTAGGGAAAAGCAGAGAAAATACCCAGTGCATGGGCTTAGAGGCCTGAAAGTCACTGGAGTGGTTAAGAACACAAAAAAGCTGCTGAAACCTGTGACCCAAAGACTGAGGAAGAGGTGAGTTTGGGAAGACTGGCAGACCTCTGACCGTAGAGGACTTTGTAGGTCACAGTAAGGAGTTCGAATTTCTCTTCGGGGCATAATGGTAAGAAATAAAAGGTCCTAATCAATTCTTCCATGGGTAGACAGGGTGGGTGGTCAGTAGTTATTACAGTTACATTTTCAAAAGATCAGTTGGACAGATGGACTACAGTGAAGCTAAAAGTGAAAGAGCTATTAAACTTACAAATGGTAGAGTAATACCTTAAGACAGTCCATATTTTATTCAAATGCTATAATAACATCGAATATTTTGTGGTGCTATGTATGAAATCCTATCATCAACATTTTCCATGTATTAACTCATTTAGTTTTTACCACAGTATGTCAGGAAGGTACTGTAATCATCCCCAATTTACAGATAAAAAAATTAAGTACACACAGGTTACAAAATTTGTCTATGAATGTAGTAGAAACATGCACACGTAATATTTAATTTCCTAAAATTAGGAAATTAAATTAAAGTTATAATATTAATTTTAAGATTGTTAAAGAATTATTTTCTTTCTAAGCATGTTAAATTCTAAACTATTAGTAGGCAAGACTCACTTTCCATACACATTATCAGAACTCTGCTATATTTAAGGTCCTAGACTAGATAGACCACATGAAGAGTAAGGACTTTGACATTTCCTTTACTCACATACAACACCAAAATTTGGGAACCAAAATGAGGAGCTCGTTAAATATTGTTAATTAGCTGGTTTGGTATCCAGTACGCCAATATATCTTAGAAGTGCCTTATAGATATATAGGTAATTCAAAATATAGTTTAGATATTTATTTTTCAATTAATGTTTCTCTCAATTATTAAATTAGAAAGTTAAATACATGTGAATTTAGATTATTATTTTGCTTATAGGCAATCCCTACAGCTAAGAATATACTAATTTTACTGATGAGAAAACTGAAAAACTGTGACTAAGGAACCTGCCTAAAGTTTTGTAGGCACAACAACATAGTCAAAAGCAACAAGTGTGAATGGACTATGGAGAAAAAGAAACTTTTATGCACACGGGATGTGAATTTGTAAAATCACTTAGAAGACAAATTTGAAAATTACTGCTAAGTTGAAAATATTATAGGTAACAAGTAATTCTGCCCCCATGTATTCAACATATATGTGTGTATATATGTTTTAATATATACACATATGTATTTTTATCATATATATTATATATACATATGTAATAAAACATATTATTTCATACAGAAAAATTTGACCGCGAAGAAAGGATATTCATTAAACAATTGGTGACAATGTAAAAAATTAGAAGCAAAGTAAATGTCTACCAATGTAGGAATGGATACAAATTTGTGATTATTTTATAAAATGGAATAATTTAGAGTAGTTGAAGTAGAAGAACTTTGTCCAATTGTCTATCAAGATGGATAAATGTGGAAAGAATAATGTTGGGTAAAATAAGATTGTTATAATAGATATATAAATTAAGATAACCTTTATTTAGGATCAAAATGCCCCAAATAATAAAATATGAAATTAAGTAAATATTTAAAAATAAACAAAAACCATAGACATCAGCTTTAGAATAATGATTACTTCTAAGAAGTTAGAAATGGATGAGATTAGAAGTTTAAACATGTCTGTATTATTTTCTTTCTTTACCAAAAATACAATATCTGTAGCAAGTATGAGAAAAATACTAATATGCTAAAATGGGTGTGAGTATTTACAGATCTTATAAACAAAGTTTTACTGCAGTTTGAAATGTATCACATATAAAAATCCCTTCACCATTTTCCAATTAAATGAAAATGTCACTTGAATGATTCAATAAATATATTTGAAGGGTTATAAGCAGTCCTAACTAAAATCTGTTTTTGATTTTTGTAAAATGTAGTTTTCTTTTTCAAAGGTAATACACATTTGCCGTTTTCTACATGAATTTATAGACAGCCTGTGATTCAGAAATTTACACTAGAAAGCATGTCAGTACTCTAAGTGACAGACAATATATAAAGAATGTCAGAGACTTTTTAAGGAGAACATTATTATGAAGCAAGTTATGCACATAGTATTTAACCAGTCCTAAAAGTCCATGATGCCATAATTACCAACACATACAACATTTCCAGATGGTGTCAAAATCCTGTTCAAAATAGGATGCCATTTTCATTGACAAATACCAATTTCAGAGAAGCAGAATTTTCTTCATTTTACTTCTCCTCTGCCTCTGAACTATTTCACTCTAATTGGTTCCAACTTCAACCAGTCAGCTTTGCCCCTCTTTCATTTTATTTCCTCCCAAAAGAGGACAATAGGATAGTCAAACTTAATAATACTGTTATATCATCACGATAAATGCGTGTAAAGCAATTAAGTGGAAAGTGTTCATTTTCTTATAGCAACCCAACATCTTCCCGATAAAGCAAAGAGGCATTTTTAGCACTAATACAGATTAAGAATGTAAGGCTTAGAGAAATTAAGTAATTTGGTCAAGTTTATATATCTAGGAACAGCAGTGTGCTACCCAACCTAAATCCATAGAATTTCATAGTTCCCAATCTAAGCAACTACACCAGACTGCTTCACAAGCACAAGGTTCCAGCCATTGTTTGGTCCACTTAAACATATAATGTTAATACATCCTCAGAGTATACTCTTTGGTCCTTTTTGTCCAGTGCAACTCAGATCCTCTTCATGTCTATTAACTTAGTAACACATTCAAAGAGTGGCTAAAACAGTTTTAATTTTTCTCAAAAATCAGATTAATACAGAAGAAAACTTAAGTTTGAGAGAAAATGAAAATTGAGTAGTATATTTGAACATTTGGATTTAATTAATATTCACAGATTCCGTTTCAAAATGAGGGACCAAATGGAATGCAGAACTACCCAATATAATTAACATTTAAAAATATGTGTTGTGATTATATCTGAATAGTTGCAAGATTTTAAAGCGTCTATATTTCTTAGAGTAAAACTCATTTTTAAAATTCATCTATTTACATTGCATTGTATTAGAGATACTTCAGGGAAAATCAAGGAGGATAAAGGAAAGTTAAAACTTTATACAAAAATAAATATTTATAAAAATTATCAAGTGGATGACATGGAAATATATATGCACATATATATTTCAGAAGCTGTAACATTCTGATATCATTGTTTATTTTCATTACTTGTTAGAAGCCTCATTCTGTAAGAATAGGTTATTAATGGATTATCTGTAATTATTTTACTTTTTCATGTACAAATACAAATATTTCCATGTTATAATTAACTTCCCACTTGTGGTTATATATACTATATGAATAAAATAGCATATTTAAAGTGAATCTAGTCCATATGTACCTGAAATGTGTCATATTTAGATTCTTACAAAAGCAATCAAATACTTAGAAAACAATACTGCTTATAGTCACATAGAGTAATAATCTGGAGATAATTTTACATTTGTAGTATTATTGAAATGTAGTACAATAAATTTATGCTACTTCCCTGTAGTCAATCTAATCTGTGTGTTTTGCTTTATGTTTATTTTTAGACCCTTTTTTGCATCAAAAAGGGATTTGCGATGAAACATTATTTATTTCCTCTTTTCTGGCCTCTCAATTTACAAGTAGAACACTTAGATTGGCACATTTCTCTTTCCTTCCCTTGTTCTCACTAGCAGGGAGCCTTAATCTCCTCTTTCTCTGCCTTTCTGAATAATCACAATATATCACTATTCCAGTGGGATCTAAACAAAGATTGAGTAGAAAATTAGTATCACAACCAAGTAAGTTTAAGCATAAGGTCATAATAATGAAAAATCAATATAACATACAAAGAGGCATTTTAAAATTGGTTTGATGCTTGTGTGTGGTGTTTGTGTAACAATTTCTATGATTCTACTACTTTTGATTTAAATCTTTGACAATATAGTCAATTTTTGCTCTCCGTAAAACATTTCAAATCAAGCTCTATAGGCTGTAGAAAATTGATAGGTCTTCATGAACCTGGTCAGTAGTGTTCTTCATGATAACACGGAGTCCTGCCGTGTTTATAAATGAATCTATTTGTATACAAAGAACTGTTGTGAGTCATTCTGAGTTATGTGATTGCTTCTACATTCTTGCCTTTATTCAGAGACATGGGCAAAATGATAATGTAGGAAAGGTGATGAGTTTTCTTTACTACAATTAGGTTGACATTGAAGGTCTTGGGGGAGACTTTCATACAGCCATGTAACTGAAAGGATGAAATGTCTGAACAACATCCTGACCTGCTGTCAGTGCAGGTATTGATGATATTGTACAGGAGATGCTTAGCTGGGTGCCAGGGAAGTTGAAGGCAAGATTAAAGACAGCAACTGAGGTAGCACTGTTCAGCTGTTTCACAGATTGGCCATCTAGGAAGACAACAAGGGTTTAAACACACAATTTGGATAATGCAAAGCCTTCTATGAAAATCAAAATATAAAGTCTTAGTTTTTAAACTAACCAGCCATCTAGCATTTAAGGTTTCACAGATTAAGAACATTGCAATAAGAGCCCCTAAATGGGGAGAATAAAAACAAAGTCCAGACATAAAGAATAAGAGCATTATGGAGCTTGTAGAAGCATCAAAGAATTTGAAAGAAGAAAAATGAAATTTTGATTATAATAAAGTGTTGGCAGCATGGTTTTTAGGTTCTCAGGGTGGACAGTAAAGTATTAACAGATCCAACATGTATTAAACATTTGTTAATATTTGAATGAATATTAGCATTACATCAAGCAGTGAAGTATTTTACTTTCATGGTTTTATTTGATTTTTAAACCATCTTATGATAGAATATTGAATCTCTAATTTAAAAAATGGAAATATAAAGAAATAAAAAGAGCTAAGAAATGGTTGAGTCATGAGTCTGTTATCAAAGTACTTAGATACATTGCCTAAACATATATTAATATCAACATCAAATCTCTCTACTTACTATGGTTTGGATAGTAAATAATATAGAGTCCTTGTAGAATGAGACTAGAATGAGACTTGTAGTTATTTTTAACATTTTTTTGTCAGCTTGATAAAATTTTAAGTTTGAAAAACTTTCAGACACTGTGTGCGTGTGTGTGTGTGTGTCTGTATATCTTAATACTCACAACTTGGCTCATTTTACTTTGTCTGGAATTGAGAGCCACAATTCTGTGGACTAAAGTAGGAAAACCTGGCAAATAGACCTGTCCTCTGATATATTCTTTCATTTTGGTCATTACTTTACAAAACATGCTTGCGATGTGAAATGCTGTGAACCATAAAAACATGGCTTCTCTTGTCATAGATATTATAAAATTTTAGTTAAATAAAAATTAATTCTATCTTTGTCTGCAGCACATCTCAGTTACATATTAACATTATAATACAGATTAAAAGCCTAATTACTTTGCAGCATGCTCTATTCTGTATTTAGCATATGGTCAATTACATGTGGGGGAATCAAATAAGCAGAGATTGTAGTGCTCAAAGAAAAACTATCAAACTGATGGATAGAGAACCAAAACCTGCACCTACTACCACGAAGATACATGAGAGACATCTGGGGATTAAACTATTGTACATTACTAAGTAAATATGGGAGAGACCCAGAAAGACAGTACATTGAAAGATTGAGATCTCTTTACCAAGGCCCTCTCATGCTTTTATTCCTTTCAGCTATTCCTTTCTATCCCCTCCTCCAACTTTGCACATGATATATAGTCCCCAGTTGTGGCTTGCCATTCATCTGAACAAAATTCAGATTGTCCAATGAAGGGTACTTACAAGATAATACCCCTGTTTTCCAAACAAGGGTGAATTTGCTTGGGGAAATAGGTGAATTATTGGACAATCTGAAATTGGGGTGAACTTTGAAACTTCTTCCAGAATCCTGTAAATTATCCTGCCCTCAGTTGCTAAGTGAGAACACTCTTTAGGAGTCTTCTAATCTCAGCATTTTAAAATATTTGGCTTGGTTTACTTCTATGATAACCATCATGGAAGCCCACACATCGCCTGAAAAAAAATTTTTTTTTTAAATTACTGAAATGTTACTCCTGACTCTTGTTTATCCGTGAGGCTTGGAGTTATTTTCTTGTTACAGGAAGTATTTTAGAGTCCCCTCTTCTTGTTTTTCCCCATAATGTTTGGAGAAGTCGTACTCAAGCAAGTGGGGTTCTTCTCCTCAGAGTACACTTGGCAATGTCTGAAGATTTTTTTTTTTTCTGGAGAGGGGCAGTGCTACTGGCTTCTGGAGACAGAGTCCAGGGAAGTGGCTAAATATCTTATAATGCAGAGGACAGCTTCCCACAACATTCTGAGAATCATTCCCCTCAGAATGTTAGGAGTGTGAAGGTTGGGAAACACTGATTTCAAAGAAGATGCTTTCAGTTACTAGATAAGAAATAAAATTATTAGCAAATATTTAAGACTCAAAGATTTAAAACTTTTATTTAAGACATAAAATATATCTAAAGGTGGTTTGGTGTTCAAACGTCTTTTCCCAGTAATAAAACCACAGGTGATCTTTGAAAACATGTATGTCAAAATAGGTTCCTAACATTTAAAGAATTTTAATATTTTCAGGATTCTTATATATTTTTATTCCATTTAGCACATGTTTATAATTAAGTCAGTTTTTCCAAACACACAATGAGATTGACACTAATAGTATTAATTATTTGTGCTGATAAAATTGTCTCCTAATTACAAAAGGCTAAAAATAAAACTAAAAATTCATTTTGCATAAATACAGATTTTTATGTAACAAAATTGATTTTCTAGTTTAAATTAAAAATATTTACTTTTCCTTTTGATTGCACATATATATTTGAACTTTCAAAATTGTTTGTATTAATTTACATTAACATTAGAAACTTATGTCACATAAAAGGATATATGTCCCATTTTCTGTCACCTATATTCATGTTTCTGACTAAAAGCATAACTGGCCATTACGTATTTTTATATTATCAACTTTGTGAATGTTTAAAACTAATTTGATACAGTTTAAAAATGTAGAAATGATGCAGATCTAAAGTTATATATATATAAAAGGGGCAATAATATTTTAAACTAAAATTTTATATTAAAATTTAAGAAAATTATCACCAGTTTAAGTACAGAAAATTTAATAAAACATAAGAATGGCAAGACAAGATGTCTCACAACTAAGAACTCTTCTCCAGAATGTAATCCTGTTTCTAGATTTTAATAAAAATATAGTCACCAGTTATTCATCTCTGTAGCTATGATGTTTTCTACAAACTAACCAATCCAAGAAACAAAAGTTTATCTAATACAAGAAGGTTCTAGAGAAGAATGAATTAAAAGAATTAAAATCACTCTGATGAAATATCTCAAGGATCTTTTCAAAAGAGTGTGTGTGTGTGTGTGTGTGTGTGTGTGTGTGTGTGTGTGTGTGTTTCCTCTTGGTATCCAGTATTATATTTCAGATGACACTACGTCAGTCTGCAAAGGAGCAGGGTAGGGAAGTAAAGACATGACTTGGAGAAATAAGAGTATGGAAAATTGGATAGACTCAATGTCCACATTTAAAATTTGTTCAAAGCTCTTAAACTGAGTTTCTTTAGTGTGGGATAGATGAGTGACATGTATACTAGCTTTTTACAGAGTCACATGGTTAAGAATTTTGTGAAGATGGCATTTTATACACGGGTCACTACTTTATGGACAATGTTTACCAAGAACAGGGGAGCAATAGTAGCCCATCCATGCTGCAGGGAATAAGAGATGCCTATTATCTTGGGAATATGTGAAAATTTTAAAGCAATAATAAAACCAACTAAAAGTTGATCTGCTTTTTATTATCATAATGCACCGGCAATTCTGAATGTCATTAATAGAATATTTCTCCCATGAGGCAGACTATTCCTACTGATAGTCATCTCCTCTGGTAAGCCAATGCTCATAGACAGCTTCCACATTAGATCAGATAGTCTTATCATCTATTGCCTTTCAACACTAACTTTTATCTTAGTAGGTCCCACAGTTAAATAGTTAATTATTTGATTAATTATGACTTCTTTTTCTCCTCTAGATTATAATCTCCAAGAAAGCAAAACATTTTTCATATCCTCCAATATATCTAATGTGTCTCATATTCTGAGTCTTACATATGTATTACTGAAATGAATATTTATGAATTGAATGCATGAATGATAAATTGATGAAGAATGGATAAATTAATGAATGAATAAAACATAATGCCTAATTTAAACATTCCTGAAATTTTTCAAGAATTGTGTCTAAATTTTAAAACCCTGAATTGTAACTATCATTTATCTGGGCATCTCTAATGGATTGGATAATTAATTTTCAACTAAACCTTTATTTAGCTGAGACACTGTCAAATGAACATGACTAAGCAATGTTCAAAGATTACAATGGTCTCTATACTTTTTCTGAAACTGAAGGTGAAATAATCTGACCACTATACTTTTTTCTTCTTTAACTTTTCTATTAAGAACATTAAAATAAAATTGCTTATTAATATTGCTTGATAAACAATTATAATATCACATTTTTTAGAATTTCTAGAATTTCTTTAGCTTAACTTTTATTTTTAAATGATCCATGACTTACATAGTCCTACCTTATCTAAAATTGCTTCCTTTGTGAATTGAAATTAGCTATATTCTCATCTTATCAGGTATTATGTCCTCAAACACAAGTCACAGACACCAATGATATTTATTATATTTTTTTTATAAATACGAATGTCCTGAGGCATGGGAGGTAGGAAGGCTGATGATACTGTGTATTCTATTTAGATACGAATATTATGTGCATGTCTCTGCTTTGGAGTTTTTTGTTTTTGTTTTTTTGTTTTGACTTCGTTTAGCAGCTGATTCTCTTCACGCTTGCATAAAGGATTGTGGCACATCCCAACATCACCTGACAGCAATCTTCACAAAGCATAGCTTTTCAGAAGCCTCAGTACCAACTTCCTTTCAAGTCTTATTGGCCAAGAGTGTCCACACATCAACCCCTGTCAATGTCTGACAAAAGATAATGTGGTTATTATGACTAGCCTAGGCTGATCAGGGTCTTTTAAATTAAATTTGAGGTTATATATCCCTAAGTAGTGTGGCAAATGAAACAATTTTTGGGAAAATACAGTATTTCTTTTAGCAGTATAAAAATGTCGAGGGCTGTCCTAAATAGGCAATAAAAGTTCCTGCCATACTAAATAGCTAGAAAATCTTTTTTGCTGAATGTATTATATAAAGAAGCTTAGAGACCATTATTCATACATTACAAAGACGTGATATGAATCTTTATTTGCATCTTGGTTTCTTAATTTTAGAATGATGTCCTTATTTCCACTGTGTCTTTGATATTTATGGTGTTTAACATTATCTAAGTTTATTATAAAAACTTTGAAAATATGGATTGTCAGTGAAAAACAGAAGTAACTTTAAAGACTTTACATATAAAAAACTATTTGTTATTTTTAAAATGACCATTGAACCATCTCTTCCTGTTTTGATGGGCTTGAATCTCTTTTATTGTGAAATATTTTAAAAGGTTTTTGGTGCTCTTTCACAATTCATTTTTCAAAAGATAATTTTTTTTATCTTAGAAATGGATTTTTGGAATGAGGTCACTCTTTGATAGAATAATTCACTCTTTGGGCCTTGTTTCACTGCATAATTCAGTCTCTTCATGGTAATGGTCCTTGTACTGAATGAGAGAGTTATTTCACTAGAGGAGAATTTATTATACTTTTCTTAAAAGCCCCACTTCCTCTGTTTCAAATCATCTTGCTTGAAAAATTAAACTAAAATATATTTTGTATTTACCAGTTCTTGAAATGTTGGATGATGTTTAAAATGTCCATTAATGCATAACAAAGTACATTTGTATCTGCAGTGATACTTCTCAGAGCAGAGAAATTATCCAATACAAATCCATTAAATAGGAGACTTCCTGCAAAACATAAAAAGTGTTCTTCTTTTGGAGTGCTAGAAGGACCCAATTTCCTAAAATATTTCAGGATAATAACACTATAGTTTTTTAGGGATAGCAATATAATTACCTTCCTTCCTTCCTGGTTCTAATAAATGAATAGGTAGGATTCTCAGTGAGTGAAAGGATGATCTTTAAGAATGGTTGTAGATAAAGGTCCAGTAATCCTCCAAATTTGTGGATATGAGATGACAATTTATTTCCTCAACTGAAACACTCCATTTGAAAACATCTAGGAACTCACACAGGGATCAAAGTGCTGGGATTACAGGCGTGAGCCACTGTGCCTGGCCTCACATTGGATCTCACCCTACACTAACCTAAAACAATGTTAGGCTTTCCTAAATGAAAATACTAACTCAGAACACTATCTGTTTTCCTACTTCCCAATCACTTGGTAGAAATGCGCCATAAGTAGAAAGGCATTGTAATCCTCTCAAATAAATTAATGTTAGTTTTGCATTGTATTTAAATCCAAAGTCCATCTCTCATTCTTCTTGCACCTTGAAACTATACAATGTTCCTTACTAATTTCACGGTTTTGTGGGTTTTTTCCCCCTTTCCTGGAGAGAGCGTCCATTTCCGCCTGAACTCACAAGAGAAAAAAAAGAAAACGCTGCCAACATTTGGAGACACTGTTGAGGAGAGGGATGCTCCTCTTTCTTCGCTCTTATTGCTTCTTCCTCTTAAAATTGAGAGTGATTAAGCTATTAAAATACATTAACATTTCAAAGAGCACCTTTTATGCAAGACACTATCACCTGCCTACTGTCTGACATTTAACCTAGTGCCTGGCTTTCTGCAGGCCTTCTGCTTGGGCATCTGCTTTCTTGTAATAAGCACACTAGCAGCGGCTGTTTTCCCAGGTCCTCCAGTTTCAGACTCCCAGTACTTTGGGAGGCTGAGGAGGGCGAATCACGAGATCAGGAGTTGGAGACCAGTCTGGGCAATACGGTGAAAACCCGTCTTGACTAAAAACACAAAAATTAGCTGGGTGTGGTGGCACACGCCTGTAGTCCCAGCTACTCGGGAGGCTGAGGCAGAAGAATCCCTTGAACCCAGGAGGCAGAAGTTGCAATGAGCCGAGATTGCACCATTGCACTCCAGCTTGGATGACAGAGTGAGACTCCATCTCAAAAAAAGAGATCTAATGTGAAATGTATAACAAATGTTTTAAATTTAAAAAGTGAAATATTTTATGAAGCAGCTTTTAAAAAAACAATAGACTTTGATTGTGATTAATGTTCATTCTTATAGAAACATTTATTTGCTTGGCCAAACTTGAGTTAGGCTCCTGAAACTTCTGTGTCCATATGTGCACTTCATCGTAAAATCTACTTTTAGCAATGAACCTGCTAAGTCAGTTGAGCAAAAACTTTTCATGTGTCATTACCTTCCATATATGACAGGTTCCTCATGCTCCACCATCCCCGAGATGATGTCTGATCACTCTATTCTGTCTTCAGCAAGAATCCTGTTAGGTTAGTTCGCCAAAATTCCCTCTCACCCCCGAAGTTTACTCTTAGCAATATTCCATCCATGGAACCCCACCCTGTCCTTTGGCTGTAAACTTCTGCTTGCCCAGGCTATATTTGGAACTGAGTGTAGTCTCTCTCCTGCACTGCAAGACCCCTTTCCAGGGGTCCCTGTACCTATTGCTATGGTCCTGAATATGGTCTTCCTTACCATACTAATATATATTTTTAATACTGAAGTAGAATAATTGTACAATAGAAAATTGGATCCAAAAGAGATTAGACATTAACACATTTGATTCTCTTATTCAAAAATGACACAACTTTTTCTCAGGGACTTTAAATGCCTTGCTTAATGTTGTGACAGTCAAACAAATGATACCAAAACTCTCTTCTGGGCTGGCAACTTAACCACTCTGTATTCCTATTTAGCTTCGATTTTTAACACTGGAAAAAGTGAAAAGTGTACTTGGAAAAAACGATTGTTTTAACAGATAAACCTTACGTATTAAAATGTAATGTCTTATAATAATATAAGTTTTCAAGGTTGTGTGGCTTTTATGCTTTATGATGATTTATTCATTTTTATAGTGCTCTCTAAAATATTACATAACTAGTGCTTAATTTAAACTGCATTTGGTTATACATCTTTTTAAAGCTTCCAAATATTTTTTCTATTATATAGTAGAAATTGCTTATGTTATATTTTTTCCTAGAACATAATCTCTCACTTTGATCTGGTGTCAGATGAGCATCTCTTTTTGATATTATTACATCATGCAATGTAGCAATAATGACAAAGTTCTGGAAATGGAAATAGCAATCTCCTAATAAATCTGATTGTAGGATACAGTTGAATTATTGAATTTCAAGAAAATTTATTTGGAGTTAGCTATTCTACATCAGGTACGGGATGCTAAATTTTAGAGATGACAAGTATTTGATCACACACACACACACAAAAAAAAAAAACCTGAATATGTTATTTCTTCATTCGTAATCTACATTGTATCTCTCTGGGACCTAAAATGAGATAACAAAATTAAGCTACATGCTTATCCCATATAGTGTCTCATCATAAATTATAAAATGCTCGAGGTAAAATGAAAGCCCACATTAAAACTGACAGGGCTGGGTATGCCCTTTTAATATGCGCTTTCAGAAAGAGAAGTTGGGAATTAGAACAAGCAAAAGAAACACTCGTTTGCACGTCACTCCTTTTTATCAAAGTTTATCCCTGCTTGACTTGGGGAGTATTTGGCTCTAATATACTAGCTATGTTATTCCAAACTGTTCTATTTTGCCCATTTGATGTTGCTGCCTTGTGTGTGTCATCCAAGATACTGAAATATCCAAAATTATAGAAGTAAAATATCTTATTCTACTGATATTAACTCATTGCTTAACATATTTTAGGTGTGGCTATAAAATTGGCTGCAGATTATTATATCCACATTATTGTTTAGTTCAGTCAAATTTTTTATCTTTTCCAGAGGATATAGTAAGATTTCTAAAAGGGCTTTGTACAATTATATATTGAGTTCTTATATAGTTTTTCATGTCCTGTTTTTAATGAAGCTATGATAGT